CAGCAACAGTCACCTTCAGAGGGTCAGAGAGAGAGAAGGTAGGGGACACACACATACATGCAGGTTCAGGGAAAGGAGGTGCTTCTCTCTTCTTGAAGATACCGCCGATGATGCTCCACGACGCTCCGCATGCTCCAGGTAAGTAGACTTCGCTACTTCTTCTTCGGCCTGCGTCCCCCACCATCCAATACCTCTTCGCTTCCTCCTTCACTATTCCTCCATCACCACTTCTCCTCGCCGGCCTTGATCATGCCAGCGCTATGAGTGCAGCGAGCATCTGCTCCGATACCACATTTGCATGGGTCCTGGGGACCATCTCACGCAAGTGTGTACATGCCATGCATCATACTCGCACACAATGATGAGTAGTCTCACACAATAGACAAAGGTAGATGAGAATAGAACCGAGTTTCACCACTTATATTATCAGAAATATGATTACAAAGAGTTTCAAAGATCCCTGAGTCCAGCGCTTATCAGCGCAATACACAACCCTTCTCAACTCATCAATATGGTTTCCAATACATCAGCGCTACTTCTGCAGATTGTCTCCAAGTCATCAATGTGGTCACCACTCATCAGCGCCACCCTCTGCAGTTCACATTCAACTCAGGTAAGTCTCTTCCATAGCCAACCCTTGAATGAACACTCTCTGCCTCAGTTCCTTCCTCCTACGATGCATACACACTCTTCACTCATGAGGATCTACTCTGAATACTACTTATAGCTATCTATTACTAACTCTCTACTACTAATACTGACTCGCTGGGCAGCTATGGCTGCATCACTTCCAGCGCACAGGCTTCTTCCCTCACTCAGCGCTTCTTCATCCTCCAGCGCTGCTCCTCCTGGCTTAGCGCACAAGTGCACCAGCACTTCGACGCAGAAATGGCCAGTGGAGATCTGGCGAGGAATGAGGCTGGCAGCTTCCTTTATAGTGCTGGCCACTCCTCGCTGGGTCTGCATTGGCTCAGTTCAGCCTTTCCTATGTCCCAGACCCTGCATTGCATGTGTCCCAGTACAGTCCCAATGAAGTTCAACTGCTGCTGAGGCCTTTCGGCCTAGATTTGGACTTGAAAGTCTGGATCTGGATTGTCCCCTGGACTTAGACCAGAACTGGGACTTATTGACTTTACTTTCGGACAGGCACAGCTCTAGACGAACAGACAGACTTACTGCCTGAACAGACACTTTTCTTTGCACGAACAGGTACACTGTCTGCACGTACAGACACACCCTTACCCGAACAGACATGACATGCACATCTTCTGGCGAACAGGTAAGTCCTTTGACAATGCCCTTTGCTTTAGATTTAGATGTGCCTGTTAATAGAGAACTTACCTTTGCCCTGCTTTCACGTTTCTGAGCCCTGGCGAGATACCCTTTCAGGCTGCTTTACTTTTACAAGGCCCATGTTGCTTTACTTTTACAAGGCCTGAGGCCTACATCGGGTAAAGGCCCTTTTAATGCAGAGTGAGACAAGGGAACCAAGACAAGGATCTCGTGAGAGAGAGAGAGAGAACACAGGTTAAGGAGTTGGATATGGTGGATACTTACCTGTTGGCGCCATACCTGTGATCTGAGGGGAGACGCTGGCTGAGCCAGGCCCTATATTGAGTATGGAACGAAGGAGACTTGTACTCTGTTGGCGCTGAACTCTTGGACTCGAGATACTCTTTGTATAATGTTGTTGTGATAATATGACCTGCGCTATTTGGTTCTCATCTCATCTTGATTTGGCTACGTGTGAAGTTTCTCTATCTGTATGATGACATTTATGCATGCAATGAGATACACTCCAGCAAGCTATGAACAGTCAGGTTCCTTGCAATTTTCAACATGTGTGTGCTGCTTGTTTTCTGTGTTCGCAGGTGGAGGTGGACTTTAATGACCCTGAAACGTTAGAATGCTTGTTCAAGGAGTATTGGGAAAGCTTGCGTGATAGACTTCATCTGAAGCTGTTGGACATTGACAAGCAGGAAAAATTAGCCAGTGATGCAGGGGATGTGGGTGGCATGTCGACAGAGAAGCGTGGTGAGAAGTCTGCGTTCCATGGAAGGGACTCATTTTCTTCCAGTGAGGGAACAGATGATGAGGATGACTTTGAGGATGAGGATGATGAAGATGAGGAGGATAATGATCTGTCATCTGATGGGTTGGATGACATTCGTGATGCAGAATATCGGGCAGACGAGGAAGAACCGAATGGAGAGGAGGAGTTGCTAGAAGGAGAACCTGGGTTAAATGTCAGGGCACCGGCAGTAGAAGAGGAGGGCTTGCCTCCAGGGACAGACAATGAGGACAACAAGTCATCACGGGGTGAGCAGAATTCTGACCGAGACGAATCACATCAGAAGAGGAAACAGGTCTTCAACTCTTGGGCGTCTGGTGAATTGCTGGAGTTTCTTTCAGATCTAGGCGAGGATGTTAGGACAAAGCTTCACCGGTTCACCATCACGAAGTTGCTGTGGAATTACATTAAGGAGCATAACTTGCAAGACCCGAAGAAGAAAACAGAGATCTTTTGTGACGAGAAGCTTCAAAAACTGTTTAAGAGGAAAAAAGTGGGGCAATTCCGCATGTTCAAGCTGCTGGGGGATCATTTCCCACCAAAAGACTCCAAATTGCTGAGAGATGGTGGTGCTTCTGCGAAGATGAAGTATGTCAACAATCAGTGGTAATCACTGCCCGTGTAGTAGATGCTGTTGTTAGGGCAGTTTGAATTTCTGCCTCCCAAACTTTTTGTGCTGCTGTGAAATTGGAATAATCTAGTTGGGATCTTTGTAAACTGTAAGTGACCTGGCTTCTTGTGACTTTGCATGGATGCCAGATCATTGAATAAACGTAAAAAAAGTGGAACTTACTCGTTTATTGAGGCAAATGCAGGGTTGCACCCTTGCGACCGTCCGCCGACCAGTCAGAAAACAGCCATGCGCTGATTTTTTCTCAAATCTAAGTTTGGGCTGTACTGCGGTTTCTGAGTACAGCCCAAATCTGCAGAGAAACACTTTGGTTTGCAATTTTTTTTTCTTGGGGGGGTTGGGNTTGGGGGGGTTGGGGGGGGGGGGGTGGGGCAGTCGACAGGGGTTGGGGGTCTTACGGGGGAGGGGGTGAGGGGGGGGAGTACCGTTTTGCAGCCCACAGAGGCATGGAACCGTTTTGCAGGATGTGTGTGGGTTTGAGGCAGGGAACCGTTTTGCAGCATACTGCAACATTTTGCAGGGCTGATTGGGGGCAGGGGTGTTTGGGGGTTCTGTCGGGGCATGGTCGTCGACATGGATACAGAGTTCAATCCACAGCGACACAAAATCACAGATGGAAAAAAAAAGGCAAAAAAGAAAAGAAGAAGAACGACACACCGAGTTCACACTATCACCACTGCAGAAAAGCAACACTCCATTATAGTCTGACTGTCCCCGACGTCCGAAAGCTCAGCCACAATGAAGTCCAAAACGGACATGGAGGATAGAGACGACCATGAAGAATAAGAAGTAGGTGAAGAAGAAGAAGAGGAGGAAGCAGGAGAAGAAAGAAGGTTTCTCTCCCTCTCTCTCGCTCACCCTCTCCCTCTCTCATCCTCTCTCACCCTCTCTCTCTCTCTCTCTCTCTCTCTCTCTCTCTCTCTCTCTCTCTCTCTCTCTCTCTCTCTCTCTCTCTCTCTCTCACTCACACACACACCCACACACACACACACACACTCGCTGCTGCTACTCGTGTCGGTCGATGACGACGTGTCAGACGATGATGATGCCGAAGTTTCCTTTTCTTCTGCGGAAGAGGAAGCGCTGCTGCTGCTCAAGTCGGTGTCCTCTTGCCACTCACTTCCTCTTCTTCTGCAGATGCCGTTTTAGCGATTGTGAGGCTCCAACGACTTTTTTTGAACTTTCCGTGCCTTCCTCGACTTCGCTTGCCGAACAACAGCATGCTTCTCTTGCAAGGTCGTCGGCGGTGTGACTGTCATACGTCCCTTGCCTCTTCCACCTCTTGTCTTCGTTGCCGCTGTGTCCTTGGGCTCGTTCTTCCCTCCTTTCTCTCTGCCCGCCAGGCTCTTCACTTGGTACACCTTCCTGGTGTCAATTTCGAGCGGAGACACTGTTGCATGTCGTGCAGCTGCATCTTGTGGAGGTTTACATCCTCCATGGTTGGCAGCTTGGGTCCTCCTCTTGTAGACCATGCCCTGCGATCATGCCCTGGCCTCCGGTGGAATGTCCTCGGTCAACCATAGAGCAGGTAGGGTTGGTCCAGTGAATCTGGCCCAATCGGGAGTCTGCTCCTCGGAATTAGTGCGCATAGGGGGCATCACAGCCAAGTGTCTCCTGAAGTCCATGGTGGAGGCACTCGGCACAATGGGGGCCACGTGGTGCAATAGGGAGGTGAATCTGTCCCCCAGCCGCAACCCAGGGTCAGGAGTGGAAAACGCATCGCCGCCTGCAGCCTCGGTGTCCTCATCTGTTCCAGCAACCGGGTTCTCCATGTCCGCACCGATGTCTCCGTCGTGATGTGCCACAGTGGCAAGAACTGGATCATCCACATGCACACCGAAGTCTAGATCAACATTTGCCGCAGCACTGTTCCCAGCAATGTCTGCCAATCCCCCATGTGGCATCCCGCAGCCTGCAGGTATCTCCTCGAGCACAGCTCGCCGATGAGGGGTGACCTGTGCGCCTGAGAGTGAGCTGGTGCCCTACAGTGAAGCCACACTCCAGCCCGCGGAGCACCGTCATCGAGTACTAACACCCGCTTCACCAGGTAATGATGCCGAATTGGCCGCCGAACGCCCGCCAGATGTAGGGACCTCCGGCAGTGCTGTGACGGGGCTGAGGCAGAAGAGTGAGACTGGGAGAGAGAGCGAGAGTGAGAGCACACAAACACGCTCGCTCAACTCGACGCAGACTTGACACGACTCGAAGGATGCAGACACAAAGTGGCAAAGTCGCAAAGTCGCAATCTTGGATTCTGAACACAATGTCGCAGCAAGTCACACTGATGCACAAGCACTGAGGCCAAAAACTGAATGCCCGAACTCAGCTTGAGTCCGGTCTTAAGTACTGGACTCAAGTTGAGTCCCGAGGGCAGAAGTGCAATTTGCCTCGGGGCTGAACTCAAAGTTGAAGGTCTGAGCCTGGGCGCCAGAATGGCGGATGGCGCCAAGTATCGAAATTCGAAATTGCCAGAGGAGGGATTTGAGAACGGGCACCAACTGCAGAGGGCGCCAACACTCAGGACTCGAAAATGAAATAGGAGGACCAGGGATCGAACCCTGGGTGAGTCTGTAACACTATCCCCTCCCTCTGGAAGGCGACGTCCCGACTGCCAAAGACCCAATGAACCACTGTGAAGGACGGGATGGGGCCGATCACTGGGCAGAAAAGGAAAAGGGGAGTAATGCAAGTAGCACCGTAATCCTATTGAGGTTCTACATGGATGAGGGAATCAATGCTCAAGTAACAGGGTAATACTATTGAGGTTCTACAGGGATGAGGGAATCAATGCTCAAGTAACAGGGTAATCAGATTGGGGTCTTACAAGGATGAGGGAATCAATGCTCAAGTAACAAGGTAATACTAGTTAGGTTCTACAGGGATGAGGAAATCAATGCTCAAGTAACTAGGTAATACTATTGGGGTTCTACAGGGATGAGGGAATCAATGCTGAAGTAATATGGTAATCCTATTGAGGTTCTACAAGGGTGAGGGTAGCAATGTTCAGGTAACAGGGTAATCCTATTTTCTACAAGTAATAGGGCAGTCCTATTGGTGTTCTACAGGGTTATAGGTTGTCAGGTTTGAGAAAAATAAACATAATAATAATAATAATAAATGTTTGTTCAATGCTCAAGTGTTGGGGTGTCTGAGGAGTCTGGGAAAACAATGTCTCAGGTCTGTAACAAAGTGTCAAAAGCGAAAAAAAATGTCTTGAGGAAGGTCTTGGAGGGTGTCGCAGAAGTGTCGGTGATGAAGCAGTCTTCAGCAGTTCTGAGATGTAGACGGCAAGGACTTCAGCTTGATTGTCCAAGTAGCAGGTTGCATCTGGTACACGATCTGATGATGAGGTCTGATCCGGATAGCAGATCGCAGACTGATCTTGATGTCCATGTCAGAGGTGCTGCTCCGGAAGTCTGCGAGTCCAAGGTGCCGGCCAAAGGGAACAGCATGGAGGCCAACCAGCTGTCTTATCTCCTTGTACTGAGCTGCAGCATGCCATTGTCCTTGTGCGCTTGCCATTAGATCCGTTATTGCCGGCGACAAGCAGGGGCCACATGTAGGACTTGGACAAGAGGGACAAAGATGTGGCAGAGGACAGATGGGAGAACGGGGCGAGACAGAGGCAAGAGCGGATCAGACAGAGGGAGGTCGAGGGGCAAGGGTTTTGCTGGGTACAGGGGATGTGTGTAGTGCAGGGAGGCAGGGTTGAGGAAGGGTTTAGGCGAGGTTTAGGCATAGTGGGTAGCTAGGATATAGGATGGGCGCAATCATAGGCGTGAACAAGTTTCATGGCATCATAGGTTTGCAAGGGGTTCCCATGTAGATTCTTCATCGTGGTATCCTGTCCATTTAACTTTGTATTTTGTGATTGGTTCAGGGTGGTCAGATACCTGAGTAGTTCTTTGTCCTATGATGGCTACAACGATGAATTCAGGGGCTGTGGGTAACATGATTTGTGGAGATCTAGGGCATGGGCGGTTAGCGAATTGGGGTGGGGATTCATGGTATTCTTTTAGGTATTCTACATGGAAGACAGGGTGGACACGACTCATGTCAAGAGGGAGTTGGAGCTTGTAATTGACGTGGGAGGTTTGTTCAATGATGGGGAAGGGTCCGAGCCACTGGGGGTGGAATGCAGTGCTATACTTGAGCGTGGTTCCATATGCTTTGAAGAGGTGTTTCCAGAATTGTGAGAGGAAGCGGAAATCACGGTCGCTGATGATGTTCTCGGGGAGGCCGTGATGGCGTGCAACATGATCAAAGAAGAGAGTGGTGATGTCTTTGGCGTTGTGCGAAGTAATGCAAGGGATGAAGTGCGCCCGTTTGGTCAAGCGACAGACGATGAAATATATGCAGTCATGGCTGCGCTCAGTCTGGGGAGACTGCACACGAAGTCCATAGAGATGGACTGCCAACGGTGAGTGGGAATAGGCAACGACTGTAACTTGCCGGGTTTGGCCTGGTTCGAAGGGTTGACGACTTGACATGTGGGGCATGAGCAAATGTAAGCTTTGACGTCGGGGAGAAGGGAAGGCCAGAAGGTTTTTTGGAACCGGAGTTGTCCCGCACGACGTCCCTTATATTTTGGTGCCAGGAATCGGGCTTGGCATCCCTTACAAAAAAAATCACGGTCCTGATTTAGGGCGAAACATCACAGGTCAAGCCCAAAAACTGGACCGCTACATACCACAAACCCTATTTCTGGAATTTTCAAAACAAGCACCCTTGTTATTCCTGGCAGTTTGAAGAATCTCTCAGGACTCTGAGGGACTGCTGGTGGTTTGTACGAAGCTGCACCGGATTAGACTGTTATATTCAGGATCCGTGGCTGTTCCATGCCAGAACGATGCTGGCCGGAGCCGGGGTGATGCCCTCAAACTTGCCAAAGGTGTGGGTATGAGGCCTTGTAGAGAGATCTGGGGGTGCTATGCGGGGCATCCTAAGGGACAGCTGGGGTGTACTGACACAGGACGACAGTGGTCGGAGCTGGCGTGAGTCGCGTTGCTCTGTAACGTAGCGGATAGAGGGTGTGAGGCCTGGATGAGTTTGTCAGAGAATGAGTCAGTTTTGGTGAGCTTTGTTATGATCTGTTGGAAATCCCTTAGATACTTTAGTGTTTGGAGAATTGTGGTGGATTTGAGGAGGTGTTCAGTGATTGTAAAAAAAGATTCGGAGTTTTCTCATCATCTATCCTGATTTCAGTAGCTTGTTCATGATCTTGGTGGATACTCTCAAGCCGAAACCGGGTAATAGCCCCGGTACCTCAATTTGTTCATAAATTGTTTTTACATGTCTTTATATGGGATGCTGTGCCCGATTCCCAGCATGTGCTGTAAAAAACGATTCGTAGTTTTCTCATCATCTATCCCGATTTTCAGTAGCTTGTTCATGATCTTGGAGGATACTCTCAAGCCGAAACCAGGTAATGGCCCCGGTACCTCAATTTGTTCATTAATTGTTTTTACGTCTTTATATGGAATTGTGGACCTGATTCCCAGCACGTGCTGCTCCCCACGAATAGATTGGAGCAAGGCTTCAAAAAAAAAAAAAAAAAAACTATCCACAAAAATACCACCGGAAAAAGCAAATCAACCAATGTCTCTCTCTCTGTTTCTTGCTCTCTCTCTATATATATCTACATCTACATCTACACCTACTATAAGAACTGCTAAACGTCATATCTCACGGCCTGAATCGCAGGCCGGTAACGCGCCGCGGACGGCCCAGATCGCAGGCTGATCGTTACCGGCCTGCGATTCGGGCCGTGCGATGTCGCTACCGGAGGCGTCGAATTGCAGGCCCACCCACCCCTCGAATCATGGGCC